AGATCGGCTCGAAATCCTGCGAGGTGTCGCTGTGACTCCTGCACTTGCGACATTGACCGAGTTTGGCGTCCTACAGGTTGGTCCAGTCCGTGTTCCCTGTCCAACCCAGTCGCGGCCTGCCCCAAACTTGACTGTACTCCTCGTGGAGCACTACCCTCACCGAGGATAGTTTCATTCTGCTGAATGCTCTGCTCCTGTGTAGATCGTCGTCGCTTCCTGCCCGTGTGTCGTCGTCTTGCTGGACGCTTACCACGAACGCCACCGGAACCCGGAGCAGTTGAGTCAGCCTGCTGCTGATCAACACTGGCATCTGAAGAGCCAACCTGCCGCTGGTCTCCACTTGGATGTATCTTGTCCCAGGCCTTCCGAAGTTCTTGGTCGTCTGACTGCTTCACGTAGCTCTCCACCAGGACACGAATCTCTTTCGCGAGGTCCGACATCGGCTCGTACGAATCCTCGATGGGTTGTAAGCCCTTCCATCCAACTTGTATCTCGAAATCCTTAATCTCGTTGTTCCACTGATGACCCTTCAGTTTATCGACAGATAACACGATGCCTTGAGATGATACGTGTTCTAACAGCTCGTCTGTTACCTCCAAACTTTCATCCACATACATCTTCAGTCTCGACGCATGTACATCCATTTCGTCGCCTGTGACTAAATGCTGTAATCGGAATGAATGAGCATCAGCGCGTATCACTCGGTATGGGCCAACCCACGTCACTTGTAGTTTATTCTTGTGCTTCTCATCAACTCGAGAACGAAGAACGAAATCGCCGACAGAAAAGCTCACCATATTCTCGCCACGTTCGCGCTTCTTGTTTAAAAGACGCTGCTTCAATCGCTGGTCCTCCACTGCACTATGCATGGCCTGGATACTTCCCCGTAGCTCGGCTAGATATCCATCGATCTCCTCAGATTCAGGAATCGTCTGCAAGTTGTTGCCATCAGGAAGATAAAATTCACGTAAGGGAGTTGGGTTCTGCAGTCCAGTGAAAAGCTCCAATGGGGAATGGTTTCCGAGGGATGGCACAGCAGTGTGATTTAGATTTGCCTGCACCATCGGAACCAGATATACCCAATCCTTCTGACTTATCTTGTACGTGATAATCATTGCCCTGACGACTTGAAGAATGTCCCGATTAACTCTCTCGACTGATCCATTAATCCATGGACAGTATGCTGGTGTGAACGTCTGCTGCGTCCGTAGTCTGCGGCTCAACTCCGCCACCACTTCATTCTTGAAGTGCGTGCCTTGGTCCGACATCCACTCCGGCGGAATGCCGAACCTCGAGTGCCATGCTAACAGAGCTTCCACCGTCACTCTGCTGTCAGCCGTGTCTACCACGACTAACTCACAGTAGTGAGTAGCGTGGTCCTTCAAGACCAGGATATATTTGCTATCTCCATAACTTGGTCTCATAGAGAGAAAATCAAAATGTAAGACTTGGTTGCGTGTACTGCAGTCGATCACTTCGCCCCACGGACGTGGGATAATTTCCCCCCCTCGACAATGCAGGCACAGCAAACAATCTTTCACGAATTTCTTCACGATAACTGCAACGTTGTCAATCACAAAAAGTCGCTTGAGGTGAGTGATCATAGCCTTCTGGCCTCGGTGGCCTTGGGCTCCACAATGCGCGACAATGCATAGTCGCTGGATCAACTCGGAAGCTTCCGAAGGCACCCAAATGCGCCCTTTTAGTGTAATCGTTCCGTCTTCTGTAGTTGACGACCCTGCCGGTCGCTCGTACTGAGCTTGAACAGTAGAAAGTTCCTCCAATGTTGGCCAAACGAAATCTTCATCGTCCAGTGGTCGGAGTCTCACCTTGGTTGGTGCCGTTTGCTGCCGTACAGCTTTAATACGTTTCATTATAGCCACTGGAGTGTGATTTCCGGCCCATCGCGAGATCATGTCGGCCCATACATTGTCAGGACCTGGTACATGTTCGATGATGTACCTGACATTCATGAGTTTCATCGCCCACCTGAGAAGCTTGCCTTTCACGTACTTCTTGACACTTTCGTGTGGCGCGAAAACATGGATCAAATTTCTATGATCACAAAACATTTGAAATGGTTGAGGCCGTAGCAGCAAATAGTCCATCTTCTCACAGGCCAATACAATTGGCAGGGCTTCCTTTTCGATGACAGTCCAGTTCAACTGGCTGCCAGTGAAAGTCCCGCTCATGCACTGGATGAGGCGGTGCTGCTGCTCGGTGACTGGCCGCTTCGGGTCGTACTCCTTCACTTGGGTCACGATAGCTTGCGTCTGTGAATAGGCACGTCGTGGCGTTATCGTCGGGAAAATTCATTGTTGTCGACGTCGCCAACAACTCCTTCACTTGGTCGAAAGCTTGCCGTCCCTCCTCGTTCAACTTGATCTCAATTCCCGCTGCGGCGCGTCGTGTACGCCTTGTGCTCGCAAGGGCTTCATCGAGACGGCGTTGGATGTAATGGGCTCTCCCAAGTTGCATATGTAGGTAGTTTTATAGGTTCTTTGTAGTGGTTCACACCATTACATAAGTAGGTAGATTTGCATTACAAAAGTAGGTGCAGCAGCACACGAGTAGCGTGTGCTGAACTGCCGTCACCTTATTGGTTGAAATATGGGGAGCCAGACCCATAATCAACCAATAAGGAGTTGACGTGTATTTGAGTGGTCAGGGCAAGCTGCCCTGGACCTAAATAAAAACAGAGTTAATTTTCCTTCAGACTAAGTACTTGGTTTCAGTATCACTGAACTTGTACGCTTCCTCATCACTACGTGTAAGCAAGTAACGGACACCCCAGGCCCGTTACACCTGGTAGCACTTTGGAGTCCTTCCCATGACCAAGTTCACGATGAGCCAAGGTATGACGTCTGAAACTCCAGGGCCGACCCTGACACATGCGGCTTTCCCTCATCTCACTCGTGTCGAGTGGGAAGCCCTTCACCGCCTCGCGGCGGTGTCTGGTGAGGCTGTAATCGCGTCGCTGCTGAGCTCAGCGACGTCCGACCAACAAAGCCAAGCAGCCCAAGAGTTCATGGAACGCGAGCTAGCCGATGCGAATCGGCGAGCAACAACTCCCGCGCGTTCCTCGAAAAATGATGTCGTGAAGCTAGAGACGTCTACCTACTCCGGTGAAGGAGCGAATCGCCTCCCGCTGAACCGGTGGTTTCGCGAGGTCGACATCGCGATTGCTTCGAGAATGATCGAAGCGCAAGGGACAGAGGTCAATTTCTTATTGTCCCGGTTGTCCGGGAAGGCCAAGGAATGGGCCCTCGGTAAACTTGTCGTTGATCACGACGCATTCCCCACTCTGGAGTCTCTCCAGAAAGATCTCAGGCTCGCGTTCGAGCCACCTCAAGACGAATCCCGCGTGCGTGCCGAGTTCTTCGCCCTTCGTCAAGGCAAAATGACTATGCGCGACTACGTTCAAAAGACTCGCCACCTCGCGTCATGCATCGTGACAAATCCGATTGACGCAGCATCGCAGGTCCATGTATTCGTATTCGGCATGCGTGAAGGCATGACACGGTACTGCCTGACCCGAGCGGAACCTTCCTCTCTCGAGGAAGCATTCGCCCTCGCGTTACGCGAAGACTACGTTGTGGCGGCGTCTTACGCGCGCGATGTCAACGGCAGCTCGTGAGTCAGCCCCCGAGCCCATGGAGATCGACGCGATTGACGCATCGAATAATCATCGTCAGTCGACTCCTCGTGGGCCCAACGACCGTCCTAATCGCCCGCTCACTTGCTTCCGCTGCCGGAAGATCGGTCATCGCGCGGCGGAATGCCGCGCGCCAGCGCCGGTACTCGCGCACATGTCTGAAGTCTCACCTGCCGTTCAGTCAAAAAACGGTCAGGGCCAGTAGGTGCGGGGCGCCCTACTGGCTGGAATGGAGGTCCGGGCCCCCCGGTGGCTACCCAACCTTCTAGCCCTCCTGTGCTCCACGCACACTTTAATGCCACCACCACGTCGGGCGACTCGAGGCTGATCATCGTCAGTCTTCATGTCGCCGGCGCCCGGCGACCACTTCGCGCGCTCCTGGACTCAGGAGCGTCGAATAACTTCTTTCGCGAATCGTGCTTATCGATGCTTCCAAGAGAGATCGCAGTCCGTAATGGTCGAGGTCAGGTCGTCGTCAAACTTGCTGACGGGTAGCCACGCCGCGTTGCGCGGCGCGAAATCACGTTGCCATACACATTCGACGGCTTCCGCAGCAACGACGACTTCCTCGTGATTGAGATGAACTACGCGT